CCCCCCCCCCCCACACTCTCCCACACCCTCTCCCTCATCTGTGTATCACTGCAGGCAAGTCCAAGCCCAAAGCCAAGGCCAGCCCCTCCCCCAAGCAGCAGCAGCAGGCCAACAACAAGGGCAAGAAGCGCTCCCGCCCGCAGGAGAGCTCGGCCGAGGACGAGTCATCCGCCGAGTCGTCAAGCAACGAGGAGGAGGAGAGCTCCGCCGACAGTGACAGCAGCAGCAGCAGCAGCAGCTCTGGCGGCCAGGAGGATGGCGAGGGGGACTCGGGTGGTGAGGCCAACAACAACAAGAAGGCCAAGGGCGGCAAGGCCAAGGCGAGCAGCAGCAGCGGCGGCAAGAAGCAGCAGCCGGCCAAGAAGAAGCAGAAGGTGGATGGCAACAACAAGGGCAAGGGGGCCAAGGGCAAATAGACTGTGGGGCTGACGGGGTGGGTGGCCGGTTGTGTAGCTCTCTTTCTCCTCTCTCCCTCTCTCTCTCTCTCTGTGTGTGTGTGTGTGTATGTGTGTGAATGTGCGGGGGAGAGGGTTGACTGACGTGGACGAGAGAGGTCCGCGTGTGTGTAGGTGGGCAGCTCCATACATGACGGGACTGTGTGGATGGCATATCAGTCGATTGTATTGCTCATCGATGGACGGCCGACAACACTTGAAATATCACTGCCATGCACTGGATGCGTGTGGGTCCTCAGACAGATGTCCGATCACACAGACACAGGCAGCCAACGGGGGCCGGAGGCCAATGGCATGCATCAGCCTACATCAGCCTGGCCTGCATTGCTGTCCCTGCGTGTGTCCCACTTGGCTTTCAGGACACCCCCGGAGGTGCATCGGCGAGTATGCAATCCGACAGTCAAGCATCGATGACAGCTGAGCCGAAAGAGAAAGGCAGCAAAGAGCAGCCACCGCCCTCCTCCTTCCCCTCAGTGCAAAGACACAGATCGATAGGCACATTACACACGACACAGCCAACCAGCCTCGAGAGAGAGAGAGACAGATGGACACACGAGACAGACACCACGAGAGGCACACTCACTATCACAGGTCATCAGCAGGAAATAATCCGCCGCAACTGCAGCTGTAGGGTATCTTCTGTCCCGCCTGCCATCGAATGGGCTTAATGGGATACTTAGGAGTGCCGTCAGCATTCTTCCGTCCATCATAGATGCCGTCCGGGAAGAGCGTACCGCTGTGGGACAGGCCCTCTCGCCATTCGCCCTGGAACCACAACACAGAACGACACTCGTCATAGTATGCCTTTCCCTGGCCATGTCGCTTGCCATATGCGAAGCTGCCTTGGTAATTGCCGTCCTTCCACTCGCCCTTGTGGATGACTCTGTTGCGGCCGTCTCGCAGTTCCCCCTCTCCATTTGGCTGCCCGTCAAGTGGTAGAAGTTCTGTTCCCACGGCATGCCCGTCGCCACTCCGTCTCCCTTCTTCTCTCCATCTTCCCAGCCGCCCTCGTAGGTCACCTTGCCGCCAGTGAGCTCCTCGCCTTTGCCGTGTCGCTTGCCGTCCTTGAAGCCGCCCTTGTAGACGACGAGACTGCGGTATCGCACTTCTCCCTCTCCATTTGGCTGCCCGTCTTGTGTCTCGCCGTGGTAGTAGTGGCCCTGCCACCGTCCCTTGTCGTCTTTGAGCTCCATGAAGCCCACCTTTCCTTTCCCTCTGTATGTCTTCTCTCCGTTGGCCCACTCGCCCTCGTACAACAGCTGGCCGTCGTTCTGCTGGAGCTCTGTCCCACGGCCGTGCGGTCTGCCGTCGAGGGTGGGGCCGTGATAGTAGCCAAGCCGCTGTCCCCTGTCGTCTCTGAGCTCCATGCCGCCCGCCGTCCCGTTGCCCTTCTTCTCTCCACCTGCCCAGCCGCCCTTATAGGTCACCTTGCCGCGACTGAGCTCCTCACCCTCGCCGTGCCGCTTGCCGTTCACCCAGCTCCCAGTGTACTCGAGAATATGCTGCCGTGTGCTCGAATCGTAGTGCGGAAGCTCCCTGCCCTGTCCGTGCCGTTTGTTGTCTCTCCACTCGCCCTCATAGACCTTCACCATTCTCCCGTCGAGGGCTTTGTATTCGGTACCCATCTGTCCCTGCCGCTTACCATCCGCAAAGTCGCCCTCGTACACGAGACACATCTTGGTCTCCATTTGGCGCTGCTGGTTGCGCGTCTCGAATGAAGCGTATTCTTTGCCCTTGCCGTGCTTTTTGCCGTCTTTGAAATCGCCCTCATATGTCGTCTCGCCGGAGTGCTCATCGAAAACGATTCCGTAGCCATCGTATTTGCCGTCTTGCCAGTCTCCCTCGTATCGTTTGACCTTCCGGTCCGCCGTGCTCAGAAGGCCAAAGCCGTGTGGCTTCTCATTCTGCACCGTGCCGTGATAGAAACCACGATCCCACACCAAGTCTCGAGGCTCCCGATGCAGACTCGCCAACGTGTCCTTCTGCCCACACATAATCACACATGCAGACAGACAGACAGACAGAGACAGACAGACAGAGGGACAGACAGCCAGATGCATGCGGTTCTTGGCGAGAGTGGCTGGCTGGATGGCATGTTTGTGTACTGTACCTGCTCATGTCGAGCGCGTAGCTCGGCGTTTTCCTTGCGAAGCTCTTCGATGATTCGGTCCTTGTCCTTGACCTGAGCCTGATGATCAGCCAGCTGAGCCTGATGATCAGCCAGTCAGTCAGTGATTAGTCTCAATGAATGAAGGGCTGTTTGACAGTCACGTCAGGTCATGGCTTCCCTACCTCCAGTTTCCGCTTGTCCGCCCTCAACTCCTCTTGACTCGAGGTGAGGAAGTCAAAATACTTGTGAAACTGCTCAGCTGTCATCGATGTCTGACTGTCGGATTGCATACTCGCCGATGCACCTCCGGGGGTGTCCTGAAAGCCAAGTGGGACACACGCAGGGACAGCAATGCAGGCCAGGCTGATGTAGGCTGATGCATGCCATTGGCCTCCGGCCCCCTCTCTTACATCGGCGCGGGAAAGGAGGCGACTGATATCACCGAGGTCAACGACCACTTGGGGCTGAGAGCCCGTGCCGCTGGGCCCATGGGGGTTGCTGGGCGCACTCATGTGACGGCAAGGGCAGCGCGGAGGACACCGACCAAGTTGATTTCAAGTTCAAGTTCACTTCAAGTTCGATTTGCCGGCTTGGGGGCTCGTGGGGGCGGCGTGTCTCCATCCCTGGCAGTCTCACATGGACTCGGATGCTTCCAGGGAGTCTCGCGTAGCGCAGTCGGCTCCCGCCACTCGTGCACCCTCTTCTGATGCGCCGCGCAACGACCAAGAACTTGCGGACAGAACCGGAAAAACAAAGGATCATCCGGCAAGACGTCTGGTTCGGCCAAGGACTGATCACCTCCCGACGAAGCCGTCGTCGAAGCCGCTCAACCGAGTTCTCTTTGAGGCGGTGAAGGGGGCAGTGAAAGTGGATCAGTATCAAAGATATCACGAGGAGGTATTAGACGCCGCGAATGAGAAGCACAAGATAGCCATGTCCCGCCTTGGGGAGGAGGTAAAGTCGCTCATGAAGACGAATGCCCAGCTGGTGAAGGAGGTCGCGGCCCTGACTGAGAAGGGAGATTCTCTGAAAGCAGCTGTGACCGCCTTAGAGGTATCGAGTACACGTACATCCAGCGGTCTCTCACTCTGCCTTACCCTTTCTTATTCTCTGGTTTTCAACAGGATGATCTGGCTGGCAAGGTAGAGGCCTTCACTTACCTGTCTGCTGAGGTACAGCAGCATCAGGAGGACATCAATGAGCTCAAGGACGAGAATCAGGCCCTGAGACACAATCAGTGTGCGGATCAAGAGAAACAGAGAAGGCTGCAAGAGCAGAACAGCAGAATGGAGCGACGACTTGAGGATTTGAGAAAGGCCATCGAGGAGATGAGGTCTGAAGAGCAACGGCTAGAAGAAGAAGAGAAGGCCCTGCTACAGAAGGTGCGTGAGCTCAAGCGGGACAGCCGCGCCATTCCTATCCAATGCAAACACAATCCCTCCCAAGATCCGTTCCACTGCTGCCGCCACTGCCCCTGCCACTTCGTCGGCTACCATCAGACCGACGAGGCTTCAGCCGCGAGCTTCCCGAAAACTGTTGAGGATGCCTGCCGACGTAGAGGCCTTTCTTGTGTGGCGCATCCCAAGGCAATGATCAATAAGACGGCAAATGGCAGCTGGATGATGAAACTGGCGATCAAACTGGGCCGTGTGAGAGAGAAAAACACACAGAAAGGGCCTCTGTCACCCGTCGACCCAGCCAAAATAGCCAAGCTGCCCTACGATGCGACAATTGAGCAGGAACCCGATGGGCTGGAATTTATTGTTCACTCTCCATGGCAAGTGAAGGTGCTCGGGAAGAAGCAGATAGAAGGATGGCCGCACAACCCCAAGTATGAGGCTTTTTGATAGAGTGAGAGGACAAGTAAGAGGTCACTTCTGGCAATGAGTTCTGGTTAAGACATTAACTTAAGTGTGTGTCCATGCGTGCTGTGATGGCTTCATTTGGACCAGACATGACAAATGCTCACTTGCACGTCTACCAAGACCACACACCACAGACCCCTACCACTTAATGTCTTTGTCTGGGGTACGGGTACCAGTCAAGCGGGACAGCACGCGCCCCCTCATATATGATATACTCCAAAAAGTTGGTGTACGCCACAATCACCGAATCATAGCCCATCGCCTTCAATCTCTCGCCATCCAATGGCTCGTTCAAGGGCCCTCTGGCTCTCGCTCTTCCTCTCCCATCCTCGTCGAATATACGGGCCCGACCCAGTCGAAGTCCCAGCTTCACCATGAAGCCCCGATTGTGGGCCTTGTGATGGGTGTAGTCTTCACGAGAGGTTGTGTAGAAGCCCTTGCCTGCAATGTAAGGCTGACACAATGATATGTCCACGCCGCGATGATAGATGTTCTTGGCAGACTTCTCATCGGTCTGGTGGTAGGCGATCATTGCAAATGGACACTTCTCGCAGAAGTGGTCTCCTTTGCCGCTCGGATTGTTTGGACATCTGTCGCTGCTCAGCTGCTTGTCGAGCTTTTCGCGCAGGTCAGCAATTTTGCCCTCAAGGTGTGCCGTAGAGCCCTCCAGTTCCTTCTTGAGGCCCTTCAGATGAGAAACCGATGCAGAGGACGCTTGCTTTGCTGCCTTCAGGGCTTGATTCTGTTGGCGGACAGCCTCCAGCTGCTGCTCGAGCTCGTTGTTGTGCTCTTCAAGGGCCTTGAGGTCCTGCACGAGCTGCCGTCTCTCCTCAGATAGGCCCTTGATATCCTCGATGTATTCATCCACAAATCCACGAAGGACAGGCAGAGACTCGAGAAGCGACGTGGCTTCCTCCGTCAGGGCGGCGATTTGCAAGTTGAGGGCATCATTCTCTGCTTGACAGACGTCTTTCTTTGCTTGCAGATCCCCCAGTTCCTTCTCATTCTGCTTGAGCTGCTGTTCGTTCTGGTGATCAATCTTAGCACATTCTGTTGTATTGCCGCTTGCGCAATCGCCTTGAGTTTTTTCTCCCCACGGCACTTTCTTGTGTGGTGGGTCTTCGGACGTCTTGCCGGATGATCCTTTGTTTTTCCGGTTCTGTCCGCAAGTTCTTGGTCGTTGCGCGGCGCATCAGAAGAGGGTGCACGAGTGGCGGGAGCCGACTGCGCTACGCGAGACTCCCTGGAAGCATCCGAGTCCAT